TTTCCTCAATAAATACTTCTCTATATAATATTGCTTCTTTCTTTCATAAAATTTTAAAAGATAGCCTTCCTAGAGCGGACAGTTTTGTAAATAACAGTTTTGATATATGCAACATTCTATCAGGGAAAACAATACAAGATACCGACATAATAGTTTCATTGGACGTTGTTTCATTATTTACTAATGTTTCCGTAGATCTTGCATTAAACGGTATCAATAATAGATGGCATTTTATAGAGTCACACACAAAGATTCCCAAAAATGAATTCATAGGTATGATAAAATTTATATTAACTTCTACATTTTTCACTTTTAATAACATAACTTACAAACAAATTTATGGGACTCCTATGGGTTCCCCACTTTCTCCGATCATTGCCGATATAGTCATGCAGGACTTGGAAACATTGGTAATTAGTAATTTAAATTGCGAAATGACTTTCTATTTCCGTTATGTAGACGACATTATTTTATGCACTTCCGCTGACAATATTACATATGTTTTGAACGAATTCAACAATTATAACGATAGACTACAATTTACATTGGAAAAAGAGGATAATCGTTGTATAAGCTTTTTAGACATAATGATCAAAGTAATAGATAATAAAATTTATTTAGATTGGTATCACAAAAAGACATTCTCAGGTAGATTACTTTCATTTTTTTCAAATCATCCGACTTGTCATAAAATAGGAACAATTTATAACTTGGTAGATAGAGCTTTATTACTATCACATCCGCAATTTCACAAAAAAAATATAGAGAAAGCTATTAACATTTTGCTATCCAACGGTTATCCTCTTGATCTAATTTTCACAGAAATAAAACGCAGATTAAAAAATCTCTCAACTAAGAAATTTAACAAGCCTAATAATAACAATATAACAGATACCAATAATACTAATACTAACATTAAATATTTTGTCATACCATATATAGAATCAATATCTGAGAAAGTTGCTTCAGCAATAAGAAGACCTGACGTAGTGGTAGGATATCGTTGCATTAAAAAATTGAATGACTTCATAAAAGTTCAAAAGGACAAAAATAATTGCCCCACGAATTCTAATGTTATTTATAAATTGAATTGCAACGATTGTGACGCCACATATGTCGGACAGACAAAAAGACAGTTAGGAACGAGACTTAAAGAACATAAAAATAATATTAAATTAGACTCTGCTAGACATTCGGTTGTCACAGAACACATTCTAAACGAACAACATACATTTGACTGGGACAATATTAAAATTATGGATCACGAAAAGAACTACCATAAAAGACTAATATCTGAAATGATCCACATTAAAGAACAGAAAAATGGAATTAATTTAAATACAGACACCGAATTGTTAGACAGTAGTTATTTTGACATACTTAAAAAATTTGCTGAATCATAATTTAGAAAAAACATTGGTAATAAATAAATACATCACGCTCTCTATTTTGACATTTGGTATTCAGACTTCGCAACACACACTTGAAATATCGGGGAAAAGGACTTGTTAAAACGATAATGTAAGTTGAAAGATTTTTTAATTTTCTCTGACATTGATTTAATTCGCGTATTATATCCGTAGCATGCTCAAATGTCGCATAACTTGGCATCTCAGACCAATCGCCTTGCATATCTATTGGTCAACAGCGAAGAATCGTTTCAATTTTATATTTTAATATTTAACTAACTTTGTATTTTTAACATTTAACTTTGTATTTTAATATTTAACTTTTATGTATTGATAAAGACTGTAGTGCAGTCGAAACGTTTACAATTTATATCGATTCTGTAACGGAATGTTAATTTAATTATTTAACTATTAATAAAAATTTTTACACCTTATTTATTTGCTCGTTCAGTTGGCCTACTATATATGATTTGTTTAATTTTCTCAATATATTTGTTCAGAAAATATGTTTACATATAATATTTGACATTATTATATTAACATAGAACAATTTTTCCATATGAGATGTAGAGATAATCCTTGCTTTTGTGAGCCAGAGTCTACTTTTATTGTTTTTGATTCTATTACACACGAGTGACTGTCTCTACGTACAAGTTACAATGGCGCTTACTTAACCTGACCCAACAGTGGCGAGAGCGGGCCGAGAAAAAGAAGCGCTGCCCTCTGGGCTTCAATACATAGCAACAAATTTACATAAGATACAATCGAGGGCGCTCAAACACATCGCCCGAAATATTATTTTAGTAAATATAACTCAAAGAGGTGGACTGTATACAATATAATAAACTACAGAAACTAATAAGCATCAAAAAACTCAAACGCTAAAAATATTAAAAAAAAAAAGTATTAAACATGCCGGCCGCCTTGAAAATATATTATTTTCAATGTAATAAATGAGCACTTATAAACAAATAAGAGCGGCATAAAATAAATAACTAACATTATTTGCAACCCTTGTCTATGCTCGGAATAAATGAAACAAATAAACGTATCATATAACAAAATAATGAATTAATTTCCATCAGAATTATTAATCTCTAATAAATAAAGGGCACAGCTTCGATGCCGCTCTCTTGTAGGTTTCCTTTGCATTTTTGACTGTGGAGGTGCAAACAACTTCATCTGCTGTAGGATGCACCGCTTTAACGCGTGCCATTGGCCAGCACAATGGAGGGATGTTGTCTTTTCTCATAATAAATCCAGGTCACCAGGTTTCAAGGATGGAGCGTTGGTCTTTTATTTAGTACGCCGTTGCATCTGGTTAAGATAATCAGATTGCCACTTCTTCCAGAACTGTTGTTTGATTTGCCATCGAGAAAGATGACTTTCCTTTAGATCTAATAAGCTAGGTTCAGCGGGAGCGGTAAAAGCGTCTCCGATCAAAAAGTGAGCGGGACTAGGTAGGTATGATCGTTAGGATTGCTAGACAGAGGAATCATAAGACAGGAATTTAGCACTGCTTCAATTTGAATCAAAATTGTTTGTAGCTCATCATGCATTAAATTTGCTGTCCCTGCTACTTTTTTCAAATAAAACTTCATAGCCTTAACTACTGGCTTATGGGAAGCCGCCGAAGCGCAGGGCATGCGGAAGAATAAAGTGCCAGTTTATGCCTTTTTGTGCTGAAAAATCCACTATCTTGTCATGACGCATTGTATTAATAAAAACTTCTCCAAAGTTCTTCAATTCTCTGTCGGCTCCAACAAAATTGGTTCCGTTGTCCGTATATATATTCGAAGGTGCTTCTCGCCGAGAAATATATCGTTTTAATAAATCGTTGCTTTTTCGAGGTACAGATTCTCCTTTATGCAATGCCTTTAGTTCTTCACTGAAATGATAACCTTGAATGATTTTTACCCAGCAGATAGTCGCTTGATTCAAGTTGCTTGTAGTGAGGTTCTTGTTTCTTTCTTTCTTGATGTTCTTTGTATTTTTTTAGAAATTGCAGTATGTATGCTATAACTCTGATAAGACGCGTTGCTGATGAAAATCTGGAAATATTATCCCATTCTTGATTAACTCGTTGTACGCTTAAGTCATTCTTACGTGCTTCTGGAAGCTCTTCAGTGTTGAAGAAAACTGCAGTATTTTCCAATCCTTAGTCTCATGATTAAGCCACGGAGGCCCATGCCACCAAAGTGTTGGTTGAATTAATTGAGAGGGAGAGATTCCACGGGAAATTAGATCTGCAGGATTTTCTTTTGTATTTACATGCCTCCATAATGAAGGTTGAGTTAACTCCTGAATTTGACCTATGCAATTGGAAAAGTATATGCTCCAGCGTTTGGCGTCCGATTTTATCCATCCTAGGACAATGATGGAGTCAGTCCAGTAATAAATGCTATCGAATTTAATATTAATCGCCTTAGATACCTTGTGTATCAATAAGCGAGTAAATGCGCTGCAAAGTTCCATTCTGGGTAAGGTGATGGTTTTTACTGGAGCAACACGTGATCTTGCACACAATAAACGTGCTTCTCCATGGTTATTATGATCTATTGATTTAATATATATTGCAGCTCCATACGCGTTTAGACTTGCACCGCAAAAACCATGAAGTTCAATGATATTGGTCTGTAAAGATTTACGGAATTACTTTTCTGGGAATTGTCAAGGCTGTTTAAAAGACTCAACTGGGCTTTGTAGATACGCCATCTAGTTTTAATTTCCAAGGACACCGTCTCATCCCAATCAAGTTTAAGTGTCCATAACCTTTGTAGTAAGATTTTTCCTGTTACGATGATTGAGCCTAATAACCCGAGAGAGTAAAAAATGCAAGCAATGCTTGCAAAATTGCTTGCTTCTTTTTGTTACGTTTTTTGTAGATGTCAGCCTGGTTACATCGTACTGCAATAGATCAAGAGAAGCATGCCAATGTAGTCCTAAGGTTTTATGTCGCTCACCTTTGTTTAAAACTAATACAGACTTTGTGGTTTCTGAACTCCGAAATCTTTGCACCAATTTGGAAGAATTGGATATCTATTTTCTTAACTTGAATTAGCCTTTACTCAATGCGGCTATTATTTTGTCATGATTTTTAATGGCCTTGTCAAGATTGTCATCTTCTGTCAATAAGTCATCGACATAAAAATCTGAAATTATGAATGCTGCTCTTAAAGGAAAATTAGTCTTTTCTGCTTTCGCCGTTTCTTTAAGCGCTCGTGTTGCTAGATACGAAGTTGAGGCTGTTCCATAAGTAATAGTTTTTAATTCAAAGGTTTCTATTTCTTTACAAAAACTAGCTTTCCACAAAATGCGTTGATATTGAGTTTGTGAATTGTTGACACGAACTTGTCTATACAGTTTTTCGATATCGGCCGACATGACGGACACCCATATGCGAAATCTGAGAATAATGTTCCAAAGCTCTTCTTGTATTATAGGTCCAACCATGAGAGTGTCGTTCAGCGAAACTCCTGTAGAAGTCTTCAATGATACGTCGAAACCTACCCTTCGTGGTCAAGCTGTCTTTTTTTATAACTGGATGATGCGGCAAATAATATATAATATCCTATTCGGGAGCACCTTTACTTTGTTATTTCCTCCATGTGTCCTAAACGCTGATAATCTTCTAAGAACTCGACATATTGATGTCTTAATTCCGAATCCTTGCTCAATTTACGTTCTTGCAAAAGAAAGCGACAAAGCGCCATGTCTCTTGATTCACCCAGCTGCTTGAATAAACCATCCTTGAAAAGAAATTGTACAACAAATCTGCCATCTAGATCTCTGCAATGAGGGCGTGTGAAATGCTCTTCACAAAGTTTTTCTTCCTGCGTGTAATTGTTTCCGTTCGGAAATACGTTTGTTTTCCCACAATCGTGTAAAACTTTCGTCCAATTGATAATTAGTTACCAAGTTGCAAATTTTAGGAGTTCAATTGTTCCCTGGATCTCGAATAGCTCCTCCTAAAGTCCAGCCAAACAGAGTTTTTTGAATTACTGGATACTCCTCGGTGGCCTTGACTTACACAAAATTTCCCACCGTGGCTGAAATAAGTATATCGATATCTTCTGGCAAATGAAAGCTTGGGTTAGCTCATTTCAAGTAAGGTAAAATCTTCATTTTTAGCTTGTTAAACAAAGTTGCTGGAAGCCTATTTATAATGTGATTTAAAATAAAATGGTCAACTTCTTTTCTGTAAGAATAATGATTAGAAATAAGCAAGATTTTTACCATATCACGCGCAAAATTTGCCATTTGATTAATTCCAATGATAGGCGTGTTGTTCAAATGTCTGAGAAGTCTGAAGTTATTTATCAAAGCCTCGGTTATTAAATTCGATCCAGGATCAAGGGGGCTCAACATGAATGTGGTTTTTCTTCAACATCCAATACTTGCAATCTCACCGTTGACAGCCATACTTGAGAATGTTTGGAGTCTTGGACAGCACTAGTGACTATTGGCGTAGATTTTATAAGTTTTTCTTGATTAACATCCTTCGACGACTCATTCCTTGTATTTGATGCTGATGAAAAATGTAGTAGTGTTGTGTCGCTTATCACATGTCATGCCACAAGAAGTATAATCCTTGGCCTTATGTGAGGTGGACCGTAAGCAGATTAAACATAGCTTGCTGTTTCTGATGGCTTTTAACCTATCCGCAACAGACATTTTTAAAAAGGTTTCGCAGGCAAAAATGATCTTGTTTGCATATGGGACATTCTCTAGTATGACTCTGCGTTACGAGGTTGAATAAAGTAGGTCTTGATGGACGTTGCTCATTTATGCCAGATACAGTTGTTGATGGCTGAGTTTTTTTTAAATGATCTCCAAGGTGTGATATCGGTGCTCTAAAAAAGCCATTAAATCCTGTAAAATATCAGGACCTGTCAAACTGTTTTCCCATTTTCTGTTAGTAGTCACATTTAGCTTACTCGTGATTAAGTGCATATAAAATATCTCGTAAATCGTTTACTTTTTGACCATCCTACCCATATCCCTTATACTTTTTTATGCAGAATAGTGTGAGAAATCAATTAATGTAAAAAAATATGATAGTTCTATTTAAAAAATTTAAGGTGACATTAATTTGTTTATAAAAAAAATTTTTAATTTTATTACATGTTGAAGCTTGCGTAAAAGATTGATTTTCACTGTATAAACTTTTTTAAAAACTGATGGAAATGTCCCAAAAATTGTGGCAACCGTTACGTGAACCACCCTGTATATACAAATATTAAAAATTATAATAATTAATAAAAATAATAAAAATTATATTTTAAGAATTATAATTAATATTAAAAAAGAAAAAATACAATACACACATAACGCTTTTCATAATTACTCTAGAAGAAATATCACAGATAAATTTATTTGAAAAATACACACATTAATTTTAGAAATTTTTATAGAGTAAAAGTGAAAAAGCAACAGGAGCGTGAAGTAATCGACGAAACAGAGGATGCAAACTGATGATGGAAAAATGCAATATATAATTCATATTAAATCATATTAAAACTCATATTTAGTTTATTTTATATATATTGTAAAAGTTCTATATAGTTTATTATACTATAAAGATTATTATTCGCAGTAGCGTAATTGCCGGGCCCATTTTTGTTAATTTTTACAAAGGTGCAGTAGTAATAACCACATTCAGCAGACTTAACAGTTGAACAATTTTCCAATGTCATTCGATGCTAATTGGCTGGATCTTAAAGTAAGAATCACATTTGATTGCTACTTGAGCTGTTAAGTCTGTTGAACGCGGCTAATAAGTATTATTTTATTTTGTTCTTAATTTTATTTAAATTTTTATTTAATTTTTTTTTTATTTTTATTTAAAATATAATACAATTTTTTTATATGTTGTGTAAGGAAACTCAACAATTGCGGAAGCATCCCAGCCAAATAAACTTACGCCACTGCGTTATTATTATATAAAAATAATTTATAATAATATATACATATATATATATATATTATTTTTATATAATAATAACGCAGTGGCGTAAGTTTATTTGGCTGGGATGCTTCCGCAATTGTTGAGTATTGTATATATAACATATAAAAGTTTGTATATATAATATATTATATTAAAATAATATATAATATGTAATTATACATATAATGATATATATACATATATAAAGTATATACACTAATGATGTAATAATTATAAATATATATATTGTGACGTGGTCGTCTCGACGCCGGTTCACGCCCCGACGCGGGGCCGAAAAGTCAAGCGGCCGCGCCAAGAGAGCGAAAGCGAGCGAGAGAGAGAGAGAGAGAGAGCAAGAGCAAACCCCGAGACACTTAGCGGCGCGAAAGAATATTATTATTAACGCGTTTCATTTTTATTTTTTTTATATATTGTTTGGGAGCCTTGCTGAGAGAATTTATTTTGTAAGAAGAGATTAACAAAGAAGAGGAAAAAAGCGGCAAACAAAGAATCGACGAAAACACCACGCATGGAACACGTGGCCCTACGAAAAGTCAGCACAACAACGGCCGCGGGGCGAGAGAACCGTAGGAGCGCGCCCACCAGCAGGCGCCAAGAAGGGCTCCAAGGACCCGCGGATAATCACCGCATCCCCGCTTCCTTCTTGCCAGAACTCCGTCGGCCGACGTATAATAAGGAGATCGCCGTTCAAGGCCGCAAAAGCCTAGAAATAACGTGCCTCAGCGAGATTTATATGTTAAATTAATTGTCGCGAAGGGTACCGAAAGTACCCCGCACGTTGCGTTACTGTCACGCGAGTCGGGGAAAATCGCGGACAGCTCTAATTAGCTGTCGCGAATCCTACCCCTGACTCGCCGAATTCGCTCGGCTGCCGATACCGAGTCGGCAGATTGGCGCGACCGCTTACCGTCAGAAGACGTATTTAGAGAGACAGAGACCAAAAAACCGAGAGGATTAGAAAGATCGGGAGAATAGAGCCCCGAGGACAAGACGAGGATTCCCTTTCGGTGAGGCTACTCTGTTCAAGTAACACGCAAGTAACACCTCCTCATTGTGTACTTTCGAGTCTCGACCGTGCTGACGCGATCGCGTAATTTAGTGTCTTTTGTTAGCGTACGGGCTAAGCCCGTTATTAGAAATAATTTCGAGTTCGTAATTAGCCGAGAGCAATCGTGGCCAAGCGGCGAGTGATTTCGAAAATCTTTACGCGTCGTGGTTGCCTTCGCGACTCACTTCTCTCGGGGATTTATTATCGTCGCGCTGTCTCACTTTTTGTCGCGTTTATTGTCGTGTATTGTATAATTGCGTTTTGCGAGAATGTCGAGCAAAGTATGTGTGAGCGAATAAGACGAATCGCGTAATAATTGTCGTTGTCCGTCGCGTAATTCGATTGTCGCGTGTAATTAAGAGAGAGCGAAGAACAAGCGAGATCGCGTGCGAGAACGCAAAAGCGACAAGGACGGAAAGTGTATGCGCGCGAGAGATCGAGACGGTGATAGCCGGGAACTGCCGGTCACTGACGAACTCGGCGTTACACGACAAATTATATCATTTTGTGGTGAGATCTTTGCTCTCAGATTATCCCTGAGGATCTTTCGGATCGGATTTCTGATTTTCTTGACTGCCGAATCCTTTGTCCGCTCTTTTATTGCATGTAATTTGTTATCACGTTGTCGCCCATCAGACATGTGTAAAGTTGCATTATTTAGCGAGCCAAGATTATCACATTATTTTGCGCCTTATGTATGTTGTCGTCTTTGTCGAAATCTCCGTGTCGTCGAGCCAACGTGTTATTCGAGCTATCTTGTCAAGTACGAAATTTCTATCGAATCTATTCTTGAGTATTCCTATTTTTTTTTAATTATTATTTTGTGATAGATAGGCAAGGAGGCAAGAGAAGAAGTGACAAGATAGGTGGAGGAGTATGGGAGAGTGAGAGAGGAGGAGAGAAAGAGAAGAGAGCAAAGGTTGATAAAGTAGATAAGAGCGGCCAGTAAAGAAAGAAGAGTGGTAACAGCGGTTAACGAGAAAGGGCGTTAGGAGAAGCAGGGTGGAATGCAAACAGATGGAGCACGTGCTCAAAAGAAAATATCACACACATGGTGCACGCTCATAATTACATGTAATTATACGCAAGAAGCGGAGGTAAAGAGTAAGAGCTGACGAGAAGGAGAAGAAAATAAGGAGAAAGGAAAAGCGAAGGGAGTAGAGGGAGGTAAAAAATAAAAAGAGAGAAGAAAAAGGAGGAAAGATAATAATAATAGGAGAAGGGCAGAAAGAAAGAAGGTACGGTGGTGAAATAGTTGAGGTTAATTGTGAGTGCCGGGACAAGGAGTTAGAGGTACAAGGTGGTGAGAGTGAGGCGAAAAGAATGCAGAGACAGGGAAGTAAAAGGAGTGTAAAAGAAGAAAGAAAATTGGGAGGAGTAAGAACTGCGGCTGCAAGGAGGAAATGAAGGAGTTAAGTAAAAAATTAAATAGAGTGGTTACGATGGTGGAGGAGATGGCAGGATGGATGAGGGAGAAAAGAGAAAAGGAAAGGAATAAAGACAGAGTGGTTAAGGTGGTGGAAGAGTTAGCAGAATAGATAAAAGAAGAAAGAAAAAGAAGGAGGAAAAAAGAGGAAGAGAGAGAAGGAGGAAAAGGGAGAGAGAGAAGGTAAAAGAGGATGCAGAAAGAGGTGAAGATGAAGAAAGTAAGAAGAGGGAAGGAAAAAAGAAAAAAGAGGAGAAGAGGAATGGAACGC